GCTTCTACTTTGCAGTTATGTAATAAATTAACAGCAATTCCTTAACTAAAGACTTCGAAATGCCGAAATGTCCTTTGTCATTGATTGCTCCTGAGACATCGGAAACTCTGTTCTTGAAACCTGAACCTTCCAACCGAACTATCATACATTTCTTTTAAAATGCCGTGGTCCAAGGTAAGGGCATTCTACTGAGTTCAATAACTGTTTGTTGATTGGCTTAGGAGGCTCAAGATGGTTTTCAGATTCCAAATCCTATCCATTTCATTATTGGGTCATGTTGCCATGATTCCTCAGACTGAAGGGTTGATAGATTGCAACAGGTTGATGTCCTTTTTTCTTCTCCACTGGAGACAGAGAAAGTATGTAAAGATTGCAGTTTTTTCTTCATCTGAAGTGAATAGCGGCGGGAGGTGTGGGACTCTGTTTCAAAGAGAGTTGATCACATTCGAAGGCGGCGCTGCGGAATTCGGTTAAGCGAGTTTTAGCTCGGTGTGCGGGATCAAGGTGTTTTTGCCACAGACGGCGGGTTTTGTTTTTCCTCTTGACGAGGATTTTCACTGGTGAGGTAGAGGGACGGAAGGTCGTGGAGAGTTCGATGGCGCTGATATTCTCATTTGAAAGAAGATTGACAGCTTCGTCGCGTTCTACTATTGTGCGAATTGAAATGCACTTGAAGAAGGATGTTTCGAGAGTGTAGCGGAGGCGTAGCCAGTCTATCGAAGTTGTAAGGTTCGGGGTTGAGGATTGGACAGCCGATTTCCATTAGAGAGGGACGGTGGTCGGAACTTACAGCGTCGAGAACGGTGGGATCGGTAGAAAGAATGGAGGCCGGCAACTACGCTGGTTACCATCGTTTGCACAATGACCTGGAGTTTCTATTTCAGAGTTGGAGAAGCAACAGGCGATGAAGAGATGCTTGGGGTTGCGTTGGACTTTTGGATAGAAGTGGGAGGCTGCTCTCACTGCCCTGGCGTAAGACTTTTGGGGCAGCGTCGTTACTGAGGTGGCTTGACGATGGGTGGACGCTTTTTGGAGCGGCCGAAGTAGAGGAGGGTCTTTTAACATTCAGTGAACACCCCAGATAGCGGAGCCTTTATTAACAAGTTCAAACTGTATATCGTCCATGGAGATCGCTTCACAGACTCCATGGAGGACGACATGAAGGTCTCTGTCTTGTTGAAGTTGATTGGTTGAGAACTCAACCTTAGATTCGCCGAGGTACGACGATAGGTGACGAAAATCGTCCACGGAGCGATATACCGTGGCTGTACCTCTACGAATTTTCGGTCAAAGGGACTTTTGGTGGATAACAATGGGTGGGGAGCTCGGTTACTCGGTTGCTCCGTTTCCTACTTAGTGTTAGTGGACGTAGAAGAAGACGATGGTAGGAAGGGTGTTCGTCTCCGGCGTTTGTTGCGACGCATACCGGCTTCAGTGAAGCAGTGTCCTGGTTTGGAATGAACTTGGGAAGGAGTGGAAGAAGTGCCAGACACTGTGTTCTCACACATATGGCTTAGAGGCGAATCCCGTGAGTGACGACGGATGAAGTCGTTTAACGTACCGAGCTTGGACTGCAGCTCGCTTGCTGAAGTTAATGCTTCCGCAAGGGAAAATCCTTCGAAGAGTGCGGTCTCGTGGTGGGAACCATTGCTAGAATGGCTAACGCACTGGACTGAAAGTATTCCGGTTTTAGTCGTGCTATACGGAAAAGTTAGATTATGTCGGCTGGTGGTGTGTAAGTTCAGAGGGACATTGCGTACTCCGTCCCAAAGAACTGTAGGTTAGTTAAAGGTTAGAATAATAGGTGAATAAGAAAAATTCTCACTGTATTTAAATTAATATCTAATAACGAATATCTGTTTGTCTCGTTTATTTATTATTTGATTTTATAAATATTCTTGTATACAACACAATTTAGCATTAAAACTGAAAAGGAAACAGAATTTAGTCAAATAATTTAAAATTCGGGTGCCACCCTTTAAATAAAGGGAAATAGGAACTCAATAAACTGTTAAAGTTATCTTGGAGTAGTCAAGTCGGTTGGCTCTAAAGAGCTCGAAGTTCTCTTTACACAGCCAAACAACAAATAATGATAATAAAAACATACATGGCGTAAGGAGAAATAATTGCTGAGCTCTTGAGGATGTAAACTAGATGTAATGAACAATTTTACGGAGAGTTCAGCTGCGTAGTTAAGGGCAAACATTTTCTTTCTTTTTTTGAGGAAATCACAATAATTTATAAACCGAAGCCGGTCCTGTGTGTGAATTGACAACATAGGTGTCTCATAAAGAATAGCGTAGTGCGATAAAAACTCTGCGGCCACATGGATGGAAATGTAACTATTTTATCGAACATCTAAGATAATCAAATAAACAAACAATTCAGTACCAGGTACTCATAATGTTAAGACTATATAAATTACATAAGTACTATGCAATTGTAAGAACATAAAAGAAAGAAAAAAATGTAAATTACGTAAACATTAATCGGTAAATGAGCATCATCTGGATAATTGTAATTTTATTAAGGAAAATTTCCACACCACCATTGAAGTAATGCCAAGGCAACTTACCTTTTTGTGGGTGATTGTAAGTAAATGTACCAAAAAAGTCAAATAAGTCTCCAAAAGCATTACCCAAAACACATTTACCGAAAACATATCTTGAAATCACGAAAGATGTACCTATTTGCATCGCACCAATAGTGATTATTATTATTCAAAATTTCGTCCCACGTGAACAAACATCTGTATACCACACCCTATGGAAAAAAATAAGCTATGTAGTACTTTTCTTTCGAAACCGACACGAGTCCAATCACAGCTGGAAATCAGTTTCAAGAAAGACTTTTACTCGCAGCAAATGATGACGATACAGCAATTGTCCTTTAAGATTTGCCACGTGAGGGGAGCCAACGTTCTCTGCTATTTCGCGTATAGTATTTTGGGGAATTGTCTTCTTTGAAATGATATGTTTCAAACCCGTAAATACATATCATGTCACATTATTGAAACAACAACTGCTCTGCAGTGACTGACCTACGCTAATAATTGATGTTGTATTGCTGAATTAGTTTGTATAAATGCACGAAATTTTAATTTCAAAAGAATAAATGGATACTAGAGGTTGGCTGTTATCATAAATACTTTGAATGTAATCTAAACAATAGACGAGCAAAAAAATCAAAACAAATACTACACCGATGTCAGTAATCGCCAGCTGATTGAGTGCAGCGTTGCGGGTCGTATTTATGAACCATGGCTAAAATTGAATTTACCTGTAGTTTTAATTGCATTTTTCTCGAAAACAGTGTTTCGTATTGTCCTGCTCTTAAGCTTGATGAAGAAGAATTGTTGTAAAACAAATAATCACCCTACGGTGATTAATTCTCGATTGACGAATACGTTTCTATACATATATTTACACTGTTTACACGTTCTATACAGGAAACACACATCGTTGATTTGCCGGTGTTTGGTTTTGAATGATTGACAGATTGATTAGATAATTGAATACTTGATAGATTGACTTGTCTCTGAATGGTTGTTAGATGGTAGATCGTTGAATCACAAGAATAAAATAAAATAATAAACTATACAGGTTGAATGGAAAAAAATTAAAAAAATTATGCACAAATTCGAAAAATGTGATAAAAACTTGATGATAAAAGATTCAGAAACTTTGAAAAGGCGGCATCTGTATAAAACTCTGTAAGTTAATTGGTAAATTAAAAAGCAAATCAGCGATTACCACCACTAATGTAAAACAAGCACACGAGCTCGTAAACCATAATAGTTTATTTTTAAAAGTTTGGTAAGACCACGAATATTAGATTTCGAAATAATTACCTACGCAAATCTAAAAACGCGTACATGTAGTATTGCGCAATGGTGCTGGAAGACTAACAAAAGTAAAATTACTTTACTTTTTGTGAATCCTTGAATTGAATTTCCCGAAAAACAGATTTGTGGCCAGTAGAATATCAGGGGTGGTTTTTGACTTCAATAGGCCCTTTAGTCCGGTTGACAAAATCGATCAAACTCCGAAAATTATGATGGATTAAACACCATGAACAAAACAGTTGGATCTCGCGAAAAGCCGGTAAGGCAATGATTTCCCGTGCAGTATCCAGAACAGAATTGCCGTAGTAAAGAGGCATCGCGATCTCTTTTTCTTTTTGGACCCCATCAGCGCGTCGAAGACAGTTTCGACAGAACACAGCCTGCTCCACCTGCTGCCTTAACACAGCGTTTTATGAAATCCTACAATTGTCGCGGTGAACGCCATCTGTAGTACAATGCTACATTTAGTGGAATTCATTATGCTCAACTAGGTCCATTTAAATAGATAGATAGATACATAGATAAATAATAATAATAAAATGCTACGCCGTAGATATTCATCTATTTAAATGGACCTTGTTGATCATAAAGAATTCCACTAAATGTAGCATTGTATAGATAGCGTTCACTGCGTCATTTGTAGGATTTTGGTAGTGATAGGATTCAGGTAACGCGCTTTTCCACCAAGAAAAAATCGTTATAATCCATAATAAAATAGAAATTACATTTATGCAACTTACATACGCATAATAGCACGTAAATAATAGAAAATAAAAGAAAGAAAATGCTAACCAAAAGTTATAAATTCCACATGACCAACATTTTTACTGTAGAAGGTAACTACCCTATTACTACGTGCATATGTATTTGTGTGTTGTTTTCTTAATTTTTTATTTTTATTCACAATTTATCGTACATACATATAATATAGAAAACTGAGAAGCTAAATTTACAATTTATAATTGGTACCTACTTAGTTTCCCTAAATTTCTGCGAACTACTAATCTACCTGTTTTCTAACATTATCGGATGATTGTCGTTAGAAAATGGGAACGGTTACAAAAGTTGTATATATTGTATTTATACAACAGCATAGCTACGTGTTAGCCTAAGTTTTTTTTTTGTCATTTTAGACCTCGAATAATTTCTTCAAATGGAAATTTGGTGGTGATTGCAGGAGAGCATAAAAATATATCTTTCTTAACAATGGGACATGGAACAGTGATGTTAAATGGACACGATCTATTTTTAACAGCAGAATTGGTATGTATTTTACTTTATTAAAACTATTAGAACTAGCATTTACACGATCATTTGTTTCGGGCTGTATTTTTTTCAATAAACTCCCTTAATACTGAAATTAGTATAAGAACATTGTCTTTTACGGCGGGAATGCGTAGTGGAATTAATATTCGAACTGATCAGCCTTGGCCGAAATGTACTTTGTATTCACTTTTAATCGTTCAAGTTGAAGGCATGGGGAGTGTACAACATCTCCTGATATTTCCTATTACTAAAATGTATTTTAAAATTACTAACCAGGAACTCCATGTATTTTCTTAATCATTCATTTAGTATGAATTTTACTAGAATTGGAACCATTGAGGTGCCCTAAGAATCCTTCAATTATGCATAAATTAAAAATCAGTGTAATGGGTCTCCATTTGTATATATTCTTTGTTAAAAAATATGATCTTCATCTCATTTGTTAGCCCCAACAGCGTGAGTAACATAAAATCCTAAGTAAGATTTGCAAAAATGTGGACATTCTGTAAGTGTACGGACATTCTATGAGAAGCGAAAAAGCTTGCAATGCTCGTTAAATATAATTTATCAGATCACGTGAATGCTGAAAAGATGCGCCCAGGAACAGAAGACTCAAACTGACTACAAAAGCAGAAGAGTAACCTGAAATTTCAGTAACTGACAGTAAGTTCCACTTATCAATTGAGAAACGTAAAAACTTAAACCAGGGTTTCGCAAACTGTAGTTCGCGACGCATACGTTTTTTACAGTACCCGCCAAAAGCTTTGTTCCATCATGAATAATAGTGCGAGTCAAGAACAAGCGTTAAACGTCTAATAAGCTTTTAATATGTCTTCAAATATAAATAAACATCTCATTAATATTTTCAGTAGTAATTGGTACCTATAACAGCACATTCGAGCAATGCAATTTTAGTCGATAAAATCCTCACCGGTTGAGAGTTTGGCCGAGAGTCTCCTTTCTTTTCTGGCGCAGTGCCGTTCTTTCTTTCTTATTTTGCGCAGGTCATACTAAAGGTCACATCGCTAGAGAAAGTAGACGAAGTGCATTTAAACAACAGAATTGAATAAAACGAAAAAAAAGGGGAAAAATATTTTCAGTTCGACAAAAGATTAGTATGCTTAGATTTGCATATGATATAACAGCATTAGCATACAGCAAGGGGGAGTTAGAGATAGCTTTAAAAAAAATGGAGGCGGTATTGACAAAATAATAGTGAATGAAAATAAATAAAAGTAAAAGAAAAATACTGGTATGCAAGGGAAGGAAAAGTCGAAGAGAATGGGTCGAGTCGCCTTCAATAAAAAGAAGTCACTTCTATGCTCGCGAACGGTTAATGGAGTAGAGGTGCATGTCCAACCAGTCTTAGGACTGACGACCTCATGATGGTGATGAAAAAAGTCCTCAACGACATACACATATATATTTTTGTGTTACAGTTAATTCACAAATTGATAAATATACTGAATATACTGAATTCGAAGTTGGTGAAGCTGCGAGCACAGCTAGTAACGCTTCTATTATACGACGCGTGGATTACCGATCCACGCTCCGTGTAGAGCCCTTGTTACAAAGCGCTTAGATTGTCGATCCACGCTACAAGTACATAACGGAACGTGGATTGGCAACCTCCGCACTGAGTAATGGGTTGCCACCCCACGCGTTTTGTAAGGTGACCTTAATGGGGTCGGCGTTTATGCAAATTAATAAGAAAATAAAACGTGCTAAATTTTTCATTTTTATATGGAAATAGCGCTAGAGATATAAAACAAAGAATAGCTGAAAGTCGTGTCGCTTTTAATAAATAAAAAAAAAATTACTTTTGTGATCGTGATGATTTATTTGGAATTTCGAAAAATGTTTATTGAAGATGTATGTTTGGAGCACGGCACTCTACATCTATAAATTTAGACTGATATTGACTTATTGTTAGCCGAAGCGAAAACCGGATGACTGCCTCGGGGTCGATATTGGGGGTGGCG